TTTTCATGTATAATTCAGTCTTTCATGGAAACAGTTTTTGGAGGTTCAAAGAATTCTCGTCCGCAGAGTTCAATTTTTTAACACACTTATTGAGATCGGTCAAACGGTTACTCTTGAATTTATTGGTTTACAAGGCAATTGTTTGGATTCTTCGAAAAGTTTCATTGAGCTGTGATTTATTAATTGATCATCGTCCCGTCGTTCGACAACGTTCAACACGTAATATCTTCATTGATCTCAAGAAACAGAGATGTTCTATCTGGATTTCAATGTTTACAGATGCAGAATTGTTTTGTTCGCATCTCCGTTGAATTATAAATGTAAATTATATATGTGATACGTACGTTAAGATGTTGATTAGGAGTAATGTTAAGTTATAGATTATTAGAATACTTTCTCTGATGTTATCATAACGTTATGTTTCTTTTAATGGACGGATTCAATGTATAATATTTTAATAAAGTACATTGCGAACTTAATGATCAGACGTTCTTTATTTATGACAATTGCGAATTGCATTATAGAAGTTCAAATCATTTCGACAATTAGAAATAATTCCTTTATTATTTAATATAATAATATTATATAATAATTCCTTTAATTATTGAACACTCTCAGATTATCAATTTCTACATTATAGAAATTAAAATCAGTCCAAAGCGAATATACAATCAATACAATAGAATATACAATAAAATATTCCTCCCTTATTGATCATTCCCTACAATCATTTACTCGCACTGTCAATTGATCTCGCCGCCTACTTTTCCATTTTCATCCCCGATCGGACTGACAGGATTCGCGAATAGGTCACCGAACAATCCCGGCTTTTCCGCGGGCTTTGCCAAGGATTTCGGATCCACGTTATCCCGAGTGCTCTCGAAAATATCAAGCGGACCCGGCTTGTTTGATATATTGTTCTTCGGCTTATGTAGAATATCCTCGATCGCCGGTGTCTCCTCCATTTCTATCCTCATTGCTTCCACCGACTCATCTCCGATCAAGGCAGACACTTTGCCATCTTCAGCATGATGTCTTGAAAGTTCAGGTCCAATCGTAGTGCTGTTCCCTCCCTTATAGTTAAATAAATTCATAGGTCTAAACAAATTACTGAAAATACCCAAACCAGCAGCTTGCGTCGGCGACGATCCATTCGATCCCTGATGATCACCGAAAGGTCTCTGCAGAAAGCTCTGAAGCTTCTGCACAGAGGATCCCGTCTTGTTCATTATACCATGAATCGCTTGGAACACAGTGTGCTTATTTCTCTTAAACTCCGAAGAGACATCACTAGAGCCTGTAACATCCTCGCGATCCTCTATTTCGTCAGCCCCCGAGTTCCTAGATAATTGAATGTTAATCTCCGTTCCGACATTTTGACCTGGACTCACTTTCTGAGACACCGTGTCGAAATAATGATGGCTGACAGTAATTTCAGGCGTCTGTTCAACAACAGTTTTGTTCTTCGTTATCACCACGATGTGCTGCAAAGTTGACCTGTCCGTGGTAGTTTGAACACACACGTTGCAGTTCACTTGGCTGATGCTAGGTTTATCGACTTCTGGTTTTAAGCTCTCTGGTCTGGCTGGGACGACTGGTTTTTGGATTACTGGCTTGTTGGTTGGTCCAGTTGAGTCCTGGTTCACGTTCGAATTGGGATTAGCTGGTTTCTGCCAATTGCTGCTAGGCCCGCTGCCAAATGTAGGTTTTACTGTTGTACCAAAGGTTGGTTGCTGGGTGTATGCTGGTCTAGAAGGTTCAGTACTTTGGTAACCGTCGCACAAAGGAATACCAATATCAGGTAGGCAATTGTGGGCCACTAGAGTGGCAGTCATTGGTGAGTTTAGGACTTTAGTAACGTAGATCTGTGGCTTAGGAGCTTCTCCTCTGTTGCCTAAGTATCCTCTTTCTCTGATGATGTCTCCTAGATCTTCAGTCAGTTCTGGTGTCTTCAGTTTAGGATCTACCGACGTATCTGTTGATGATTCTTCAGTAACTTCGGATGATCGGAGGCTACCGAATGGTACCTCAGCAGCGATTTTTGAGAATATTATACTGTCATCTTCTTCTTCGTCTTGTGGGAATGTAGACTTTAGGCTAGGACGTTCGAGATGATCATTAATCTTGCCGAAGACACCTTTGCCGCTGACTTCTTCGTATTCGTTCTGGAATTTTCGAAGGCTAAGGTAGCAGGGCAATACTTCTTTCGCTGGTATCAGGCACACCGGTTGACGCCATCTCACTATCTCTATGGGACGTGGCTCTTCGATCTGTGCCGGGGTTTGATTTATTGCCCAGAATCTACGTAGGTCCACTGTCAGTGAATTAGAGAATAACATCAGGAGGAGCAAAGCTGTGATTATATTCTTCATGATCGCGCTGACGTAATTATTTCAATCTTCCTGTGTCGATTTCGAAACTTGAATTTGAATATTTTTATCTTCTCGGACCGACTGTAAGTTTGAATTTACCTGCTAGAACTTTCTTGCGTCGATTTAGAGTTCAAGTTTCAGTATTTCAATCTTCTTGCACTGACTATAATTTTAAATTCCGTTACTAAAACCTTCTTGCACCGATTTCGAGTTGAGATTTTAGTACTCGAATCCTTTATGGGCAACTTCAGGGTCTAATCACCGGTGTTTCACTGATTTTGTAGTAGCCAGGGTTTCTCGAAGACGATGAGAGGCGGACTAAAGCGTTTCCGAGCGGTGCAGGTGCATTTATAGTCGGAAAATTACCACCGTTGGCTAGGGTGGGAAATATATGGCGTTTCGAGGGGTCCGTTCCCTTTCTGGATAAAGCGAAGACCTTCTCTGTGCCCGTCTGGACCTGGCCGCCGATTAGGCGAGTCGTCGGGCATATCCGAGCCGAAACCAATTTTAGTGCACTTTACTGGCGGCCACTAACGTCGCGTTAATTACCTTTAAGGGACCGTACCGTTTATGTACTACCTGAACTGGCCGGGTCAATTGAGGGACGTTCGAGAGGGAATAGAAGCGTTTTTCAAAGATTTCTGGATGTTGGTCCATTACTGAACCTGTATTGCTTCTATCATCGACTACGCTCAACAAAATTCTTCCTCCTCGATTTTATCCTTGGAAGTAACGAGAAAAAGAAATTACTAGTTTATAATATCCGGTTGAAATTGCGAAAATGTTATTCTTGAAATTCTGCTCGAATTTTATTGAAATACATCCAGGTTAAGTTAAATTATTCAGTGACTTCGTGTAAGATAAGTTAATTTACATCCAGTTTCTTGTAGAAGTTATAAGAATGATCCACTTAACATTTAATGGTAATTATGTTGCAATATAATTACGAATAAATTACTTGGTAATTTTGTACAAGGTCTTTGCAATTTTGGTAATTGGTAAGCGAGGAATTGTGAATTCTTGGCAACAAACTGGATGTTCTTTTAAGATCGATTACAAAAATTCGTGATTTCGCAACGATTCTTTCGGCTTATTAATTAGGACAGTTTCTTAATAAGGTCGTCAAGTGTTGATGCTATTAAGGAGTATTACATAGTTAATGTTACGCCCCAAAGTGCCTGTGAACACGCAACTCCGCCGGGTCTTGTGCTTTCACATTGTACATATTCTGGGCGCGGTTAATTCTGCTTTCGTGAATTTTTCTACGACAAATATTATTATAGAGGAGTAGAGACCCCCAATCATTGATAATTATTATAATCCAACGAATAATTTCCATGTGGAACCACATTAGAATCTTCCGGTTTAATAAATATTTTTTTTTAACGATACATTCTTGCCGGTGTTTTAATATTCATGAAGGATTTGCACGTTCCGAGTGATATGTATGGAAGTAATTAAAACATGGTAATATGGAGCGTCGCGGGCATCTCATAAATGTTCCCTTTAAAGAATCCTATATTTTCCGAATCCTCCGGGAATATCATCACTTCAAATTATTAAAATATTATACAGTGAAAGTCGTATATCTCGAAACATATTATATGATAATAAACATACCAGTACAATTAAGATAATTGGATATTATATCTCCAATCGAGAAAGAGTAGACGTATAATTAACACTTTGTTGACCAATCAGGTGAAAGCTCCTGTTTCATCAGCGAAACCTTGTTGACCGGTCACGAACTATTCCGTGTTCCGGTGAATGTCGCTGTGATGAATTAATCTCTCCATGTGATTAATTACATACGGATTCTGGGAGCAGCGAGAACATTTTTCTTTGTATTCTCGTGGTTCCGTTATCAATATCTTTCGAGTATTTCTTTGGTACATTGTGTACACTAACATAATATTATTACCTTAGTACATGTAATTAAATATTGACATTATAATAATGTTGGAATTACCTATCGATAAAGTATGTTTTTATTTATACAAGAGTAGTTCAACGAATAATTAGGAAATAATGATTATAAAATATAGAAAGTAGTTAATCAACAAGCTATCAGAAAGAAAAGAGTATACAAATAGAAAGAAAGAGTTACAGAGATATATTAGAAATAGGGAAATGTATCAACCAAATATATGAACTCCGAATGGAAGAGATACCGGGAATCGATCCATTTAAATTCTCCCTAATCTCTATTCCCCCATGAAAGCACGGACACCGGTGCACCCAGCGAAGCAACCGGTTCAAATACTTCCGAGATGGTCGAGTCACCGAAAATCCCGGGTCGAACAAAACGATCACCACGACCGAGGGCAACAAAGTGGAGAAGATAAAAGAGTCCCTGGCAAGACGCGAGGAATTCTCTGAACAAGGATTGCTGTTCAAGACTTTGAATGTTGATGTCCGCCTATAATCATTCATTCTATACAGCATTCTTCCGCGATCAGGAACTTAAGTCATCATTCTACAAAACATAATATACGAGAAACAAATATCCAATTAACTAACTCCCAGCGTTATTATTTTCAATAATCACCGAGTTACTGGACGTTCAACGCATTCAATAAACAATACACAAATTTAAAAAAGCACTAACCAAAATATCAAGTAAGATCAAACATCAAATTAACTCACAAACTCTCAAATCTCACCAATTCACTCATAAATAAACCCGAAACATCCGAAAATCAAAAAATTCCAGCGTCCTATCCCTAATTCCATACTCCAAGGAGAATAAACTGCAATCGTCCAAAACATCATTAAAAAAATCTTTCAAAATATCCAAACCGTAAGCTAAAAATGATTTCAAACCCGAAGCAATATTGTATACACGAAAATTCGTGGTTCCAGAGAGAAGCCGCAGGAGAGTCCGGATTCCTGCTAGGCATTAACTCAGCGGGAGTGAGGGAAGAGGGCCCCGAAAGGGGCCAGAGCGTCGCGTGGTGGGGGATCACGGCGGTCCGCGTGGCGGGGACCGCTCGAGTGGTGGGGGAAGCCTATTCCTCGGTCGACGGTGTACGTGCACCGTATCGGAGGCTGCGGTTAGAAAGCCTTAAGTTCCGTGCACAGCTCGCGACGCAATCCCGCTCGGCATACCACCTGACCGTCTACGCTGAACGACACCACGCAACCTGTCCGGCGTGCACGCTGGTCCCCGCGTACTAACAGTGCCGCACGCTTGACCGACTGGTACCAGTACGGTACCAGTTGCCCAGGCAGCTGCCCGCGTGTGCCCGTGGCTCTCCGAACGTACGCGCGTACCCGAAACTCTCACCGATAAATGGTCCAGTCGCCGGATCGACCGCCGGACCAACCGCTCGGGACATTCCGGGGATTCCTCCGGAAGTCTGAGGACTTAGAGGACGAGGTACGTGGTGGCCAGGGCCTGAGAACCTACCGAGGTTACGTGCTCCCGCTGGGATCGGTACGATTTCTGGCTTCGTTTCGGTAGGAGCAGCCTCCGTGACACTTTAACACCGTTCGGTGAACTCGGATTTTTGCTTGCATTCCTGATGCTTGCGGACTGTGCTTCCTGCTGCTGCCTTCGGCGATCGAATCGTTGAGTTTTTGAACCGTGAACTGTGTCTTTTGGATATGTATGTTGATTCCGAGTATGGGCGTTGAGTTGCTTCGGTGGGTGTCGATGATTGAAGTGTGTTTGACAGGGGTTGATGGTTTTTTAAAGATCGGTGGACTGATGTTTAGGGTACATGTTAGTGGTAATTTCTGGGTTGCTGGTAGTGTGGAAGGTTGAAGGTGAATAATGTAAGACTATTCGATACTTGGATTAGGTGTCGTTTATAGGTATATGAATCTTTTAATTTTGTAGATGAGTCTCTGTCAGTGTAGGATTCAAGGTATTGATTATATCAGAGATGTTGCGTGGAAAATATAATTGGTTAGCACTGGAAAATTTGCAATCAGAGGTAGTTCTTGTAATTGGTATTTTAAGAGATGGAAATATGGAATCTTGAATGAGTTAAAGTATAGGTGTCGCATTTTTTTAAAGTAATTATTGTGAAACAGTATTGTAAAAAAGCAGGCCGCAAGAGCGTTTTTTAGAATATAACTGAATGACGGTTACGACGTTTCCTGTTGATTTTCCTGTACGACAAATTAAACGATATGATTTGCATGTATCGAAGCACGCAAACTGAATCTAAATGAATTTCATCTTAAATATGCATAACGCTAGCTGCGTTATTTTCTGTGCCACTGGAGATCCGAAGTTTCCATTCTATTAATATTTAACGACAAGTTCTTGTCGTTGCGCCTGGACCCGAGTTTCCTTTCTGTAAGTAGCACTCCCATCGTCTCAAAAACTTTGACACACTTACGTGATTATTAAACTGTTGACCTCGTGCACTTACGACTTATGTGACTGTACAGAAAACTGAGATGAGTATCGTAGCGGAGAGACTGGCTGTGTTTTCGTTTGATTTGCGGTTAAGTGGACACCTTGGCGGAGTATCGAAGCTTTAACGTACTTTCTTCTCTTCTAAATCAGGGCATCAACATGCAAATTAGCTCAAGCTGTTGCAGTTCAAACGACTTCCACTCTCTTCTCGTCATTTCTTCTCGAACCGTTCTCATTTCTTCTAATTAATTCACGTACAAACACGTGCCTCTCATTTTTCTAACACCCGAGTCATTACATTTATCAAAACGATCGATCTCAATTTCTCTACTCCACAATTATCTAACTTGCAATTATCAGCATTAACATCCTTAAAATAAAATTAAACAATTCAAGTATCGAACATTCGAAATATTTAACAATTCCACTGTTAAATATTTCAAGATTATTTTCGATCTAACATCAGCTAAAAGATTTTCGTTCTGTCTGTTTCATCCTTGATCATATAACATAAATTCTTAAAAGCAGAAACGTGTTTGTATCAACGAATCAAACCATACATTCTATCTTTCCATCTCGCGATATTAATTAACACTTATAGCCACTTAAAACAGTATCCCCTGCCATAGAATGATTACTGGCAGCCGCGTAATTAACCCGACAATTACCATGCGCGATTCTAATGCCGCCATATTGGACTGTAAATTTTCCGGCTCGCGGCCCAGCAGCGGCCGCCGGGAATAAAATCTCCTGTAATCACATTCAAATACTCGCAGCGTCTTCTTCAGGCATCTGGGCCTCCGGAACGGCCTCCATAAAAGATTTACGATTTTCTCACAGATCCCGGCGATCGTGGGACTACGGTTGAACGCGTCCGCGCCGTGCAACGATCGCGCGAGCAGTGTTGCTGCAATGCCAAAAATCATCCCTCGATAAATCTTAATTATGCCTGATCGTGTTCTGATCGTGCGTCACCACTAAACGTCCTTTAGAACGTTAATCATAAAAAATTACTATTGTGTTGTGGAGTTTTTATAGAATGTTTTATTGCTTTTGAAGGAATCGCTTCTTATTCATAGAACGATCTATGGAATAGAAGTTTCAATTAATACACTGCGTTTCACGACAGTTTCTTTTGAGCAGAGAAGATAATAGTCATAAAGTTATAGTCGTTTTGGAAGTAATTGGAAATTTGAAACCTTTCAGGTCGAATGTCACTGTAGTGATGATTTTAAGGTCTAATATTTAAAATCGAAAAGTGTAAAAGGGTAATTTAATTATTTCGAAAATTTTGATGTCTATAATAGTTTGATAATTCGAAAAAACATTAATTTGTTCTATTATGTAGATTGACTCTAATGTCTATACTAATTTGTTCATTCAAAAGGATCCTAATAGGTTAACCAATTAGCGGGTTAACACAATTGTAACTCGATATGTAGGTAATCTTATCTGACATCATTACGGTGGTGATTCTCATTCGGAAATTCCGAATTCTCAACGGGTTTCTACAAGGTTCCCGATTGTAGGCAGCGTCTCGCAGCTGCAACTTTCGATGCACGATTTAGAGGAGTTAGAAAGTGCGACGGGCCAGCAGCGTTGTCCCGCAGTTTTTTCTTTCGTTGTTTTCCCCGCGAGCAGCCGACTGTACGCCGGAAACGGCGCCGCGTTTCGGTCGCATCGCTCGCGTGCGGTTAATTTCTGTTTGTTTTCCTGCGTCCCTTGCGTTTTTCTTTGAACGCGTTTGATGGGAACGGAGAAGGTCGTTGGAGATTGTTGGGCAAAACTTTTGCTTGGGGTAACGGGTAAAGAAGAAGGAATAGAATTTTTCGTTGAATTTTCGAAACTTCTTTATAAAGAAAATTATACTTTCGTGGTAAAATAGATTAATGAAGAATTCGATTTAATTGTATATTCATTGAAATTGGTATTTCTAATTTCTTGTATATTGAAATTCTTTATTGGATGATTGTGATTAACTCTTGCTTCTTGCTTCAACTTATAATTTTATATATGACAAATTTTAACTAGAAGTTATTAATTATTTAGCGTTACAATCCTTAAATTACACTATTATCGACTTTCGTTACGTTACTAAAAATTTTCATTCGATATCGTTCGATATCGGTTATCTTGCATGTTTTTAAGAAATTCGGAAGCGGTAGTCATCGGTGACTGACATCGCTTAACGTGTCAATATCATTAAGATTTTAGTGCGTTTAGTACGTCCAGTGCGTTAGGTCGTTTCATAGTGCGATAAAAATTGCGGGACTAACAGAGATGATCGTCAATAGTCGCAGACAAGGTGGCACTAAATAATTTGCATGGCAGTGCGCCGGCTGCACTAAACTAACATACTATTTACGCAACCTCGAACTCTCTATTTACTGGCTGGAACGTAGCTTCGCGTGGTCTCGACAATAAACCCGACTTGGAAAAACTGGAACGAGGAAAATTACGTAATACACGTCAGCTAGTACGTTCCTCGTTAGATTCGAAGACGTTGACAAGCTGAAGAATATGGGAACCGTGATTGATACATTACACTCGTTAAGCCAATTTTGAGAAGATTTTGTAGTACTCTTTATTATTAGACAAATGATTACTACTCGAACAGAACGTGAAAGATTAATTGTAAAATTAGTGGCGATTACACGAGAGGATGAACGTGGAAAGCAATTTATTTATTCATTTTATTTCGTTAAGAACCGCGCCACCGATGTATTGTTTCCAAGTCTGTGCCCACTACGCTACAAATCACTTTCGACCCGACATGCAGTTCGCTATCCAATAGCTGTCGCTTTTATTCTCCAGAGTAAAACTCGCGGTAGTCTACCTTAACACTTTGACAGTTTTCACGTTGCCGCTAGTCTTGACCTGGTGGTTTACTGGGAAACCTATTGCACAACATTCGTAAACCCATGAACGAAAAACGAATATTTCATATATTGAATAGGAAAACCTGTGTTTAATATATTTATTTATTCTTATTTGTCTGTTTGCACATTTAATCTTCGTGAGAAAAAGTTACATATCATTATATTTAACCTTATAATTGCAAATTTACTGTTTGCAAAATGTCTACCAGAAAATAATCTATCGTAGTGCCAGGTTAAACTACAGTCGAATAGAGAAAGGTTAAAGGAAAGAAGGATCAGGTTTCGAAACAGAAAATCGAGAGTCATTTTGAACCGTAAAGGGGTTAAAGCTCATTGTCACGTGGGTACGTAAACGGTAGCCTCTAGATTCAGCGATGCCGATAAACGGCCAGATGAAGAGCGGCCGAGCCGGGTGCACAGCGAACAAGATTCACGTGTAATAACATGATTACGCGTTGCACACAATCGCGTGTATTCACCAATTCTCGCGACTGCCGATGACGTGACCGCAGTGTCGTAGGCGCCGCTACACGTGTGCGTTCCCATTACGAATACCGGAGGCTCACATACCTGTCCATTCATGGCGAGGACGTTATGACGACAGAACATGCGTTCCTCGTGCTCCTCCATCTCACCATTAGGTTTAAGATAGTGCCGAAACATAGTGCCGAATAAATTCAGGTACCCGAAGTATATACTTGTATATACAGTACACCTGGGTAGGTAGATGTATGAAATACCCGATGTACCCGAAGTACCAGTTGTACCTAAAATTTGTAATACATTTGAAATGCTCGATATAGGTATCGAAAGTGTCCGAGGTACCCAAAAATCTTGATATACACGTTTAAGGTACTTAATGCGCTAGGAATACCCGGTATACCTGAAGTACCTAACATTCCTAATGTATCTTAAGTCCTCAATCTAGGTACTTGAAGCATTTGGGATATCCGAAAATTTGATACAGTTAACACTAGAAATACCCAACTACGCCCAAACTATGCGATGTACCTGAGGTGCCTGCACCATTGGACACATTCGTTGCACTAGAAATATCTCAGTACATGCAAAGTACTTTGCGTACCAAAATTAGGTATCGTATCGATGTACTCTTTGTACCTTGTGTACCCGAAGTACCCGAAGTACCTGAAGTACCCGAAGTTACTTAATTTTACATGTTGTAGTATCAAAATATACTAAATAGATAAAATTCAAAGTTTCATCTATTAATCCCTAAGAAAACTGATGTTAAATCTCCATTACATATGCGTGACGCTCGGTTGCCGAAGGTTTAGACGCGAACGACGGATACCACGGGAATTTCTAATTCAAGCACATGGCAAGCTTCGTAAAAAAGGAATTTCTCATCTGATTCACATTCTTGACGAGCATCTTGCATACCTGCCCGCTCGTTCCGAACGCATCAAAGACCGGCAACCCGTTTATTCCGCATTCAGCGAGGAGATTCGCATCGTCGGGCGTCGTATCGCGATGCGGGAATAACCGGCTAAACACCGTTCGCCGCGGATCCGCGGGTTTTTCAGTGTCACGCTTCGAATCCGGCATCACGAATTTGGAGCAGCGCACCGGCGCTGGCCGTTCGCGTTGCAACGAGAGGCGCGCGACTTTCAAATGCGCCGCGGATGATTTACGACGGCCGCTCGGGGCTCCACTGCGATTTCACGCCATTGTTCCGCCCGTCCCCGGATAAATCCTCCGCACATCGGCGATTTTATGGCCGACCGATGTGCGCGTGTGTATTAGACGCCGACGAGAAGTTGGTCGACTGTTTACAAGCTAACAGCAGAGGACAAGGGAACTGTCAGTGCTAGATTGAGTAGCTGTAGGAATTAATATCTTTGTTTTGATATATCGTTGTTACTGACTGAATCGTATACAAAAGAGCAAGTGAAACAAGGTTCAGCGAAACGAGAAAGTGGGATGCATAGGGAATAATAATTGTGTAAGGGTTGTCAATTGAGTCTTTGTGGAAATCATGATGATCATCCTAGTATTAAGGAGATACGGAGACTCTACTACAGTTGAATTATTAATTTAAACTAGTTACTATGTAATTTACTGAATTTCAATGAATTTCATTCTAAATTAAATATTGCTTAGTAACGTAATGCATGGTACAGTCGAATTTCGGTCACTCGAAGATCTTACGCCTTCCCTTGCGATTTCAGTTGTCAAAGTTCGACTGTACTATGTATTACGTGGTTAAAGAATTATATTCAATTTAATATTTCATCAAATAATACAATCACATGTTTAGATGGTCAAAAATTTATTAATACAAAGAACGAGGGTAAATTACGTTTCTGTTAAACTTCTCACGCCTTCCAGTTTGAAAATCGCTGCCCTTTGCTATGAAGGGTGCAATATCTCTATCAACGCACGTCACGCGTCTTCGGCGTCGCTCCGATTGATAGCGTCCGCGGTTTAGCGTTCTTAATTAGTCACGGGAATCGGTGAATACCGTGGGCGAGCGATGACGTTACGCCCGGTGCACCGTTAAAGGGTGTGTAGCCGGCATTCCCCGGATGATTATTGGCGTAGAAGGTCATCCGGCCGGGGAAAAGATTTAATGCGCGCCTCGACTGAATACCTGGGCGTGCGCTGCGATTCTTCGGGATAATGTTCACCGTCGATAAGCCGCATACTTTGTCAGTTCTTGTGACAAGTATGATCACCCGTAACGCGAATAGCTTTTCAAGCAGATGGCTGAGCGCAATCGTAATGGAAAATTTTATTCTTCTTTCACGAAACTTCTGGCGTTAAGTTTGCGAAGCGAGCATTTTATTTTTGCCAGTCCTAACAAATATCGTAACTTAGGTGTATTTTTAATTATATATGTAGTGGAACTGTTCATTTTGACAGTGGTTTAAGTCCATTTAAGAGGAAAGGACCGTTTGAAAATGAAATAACAATGTAGAATTGTAGGAATTAGAATCATCAAGCTAATCTTTTAGAAAAATGTACTTTAAGTCACTTTCAAACTAAATGGACATTCGTTTATTAAAAAAGTGCCATTATTCTCTGAGAAATTAGTAACTCTATAACATTCATCTCTTTTTTGGAGGTGGTTCTATGGAAATATAATTTAAAGCGTCAGTTCTTTTTGACAAAATTTATGTCATTGGATCTGTTGGGGAATACAAGGAAGACGATGAATTAAGAATTATTACGCTTCTTATAAAGATAGACTGTAACCGGTCTGACATTTTTTCCGAAAATAATATGTCACTGATAAACAAACGACTGCAGGATAAAAGGATCAATGACAACAAGGTTTCAAGCTCGCAGCAACACGCAAGGCAGCTCCCGTAGCCCCGGTGAACGATCATAAATACAGGTCGCTATGCCAGAAAACCTGTCATAATTCAGAAGCGAGGTCAAACAGACAGCACGCTCACATAAATTTCTTTCATTGTCGCCGAGCGTTAAATCCACTTCTCGGCAGTGAGCAAGGTGTCACGTCTAAAACGCTAAACGACTCTTGGTCTTACGGCCCTCGACATTAATCGACCGCTAAAACTTCGATAAGACTCGTACGCTTCATCCTCGAATGGACGAGTTGCCGATTTATTGCTTCTGCGTTAATTGGTCACGGTAATCCAAAGATTCGATAAGCCTTTCGTAATGAACGCTGCGACTTCATCTCGAGGACAGAAATGGAGTTTAATGGAAGCCTCGGTTCAGGGACATAAAAACATGTATGTCATCTTACGTTGAAGCATCCACTTTGAGTGAATGACATTAACCCGTGTAAATGGAAGTTATTTATGGGACCTTTAACTTTTGAATCGTGTCTTTTCCGCTTTTAGTTCACTTTGTACGTTAACGCTTTGAAATATAAGCATGGCTCTCGAAGATTCGATGCTTCAACTCTACAGCATTTATATATTCATCGTGATATTAACTTCTTACACTGTGTTTTCTAACACTTCTCTCAAAACAGAGAATATTATAATATACAATAGTCATGTAGAAAGTATAGAATAGTCAACAGAAAATATAACAGTCATAAAGTTACAGTTGCTTCTCAACTAACTGAAAATGTTAACCCTTTGCGATCGTATGCTGTAACGACGACTTCACTATCAAAAATCCAATGCTCCAAGTAATTTCATTATTCAGATAACAGAAGACCGATATATAATTTTCTTCTTCATTAGTATGTTTCACAGAAATAGTTTTTCTTGAAAAAATTCTACTAACTGAAGGGTGAACAGTTTCATTCGGTTAGTGGCTAGAACCATTCGATTTCCGGCGTTCTACGCTATATATCCGGATGAGCCTGAAGCGATCCAACGATTTCACCGAATCTCCTTTCTTATTCAGGACCAGGTGGCCGTGAAAAGGTCAACGGCGAGGAACGGCCGGCTGTTTGGCGCGCGAGGGGCTAAAAACAGGCGAGAGAGCCGTGCCGGTTGCGGCAGGTCACGAGGAACGGGTCTTCGGGATGGCCTACATTATCCGGCGTTATCGGTGAGACAACCGGGCCGCTCGGATCGAACAGGGAACGAAGAGGATAGGAAGAGCAGACGAGACAGTACCGGGACAGAGGAAGAAATATGGGGCAAGCCTGGTGCAAGGAGAAGACCTCGAAGGCTGAGGACTCCAAGTCACCCTTGGATCGGGTCTTCGTGCGATGCGCACACCGGGTATGTGAAAATCTTCCTATAAAAAATCTTTGATCAAGAGTATATACTCTTGGGACTAAGAGTCGAGTAATTTTGATTTTTGGAATGTAGGATCTATTGTTTTGAATTCTTGGGGTCTAGTGTTCATTAGTTTGGATCTTTGGAGTTTTAGGATCTTAGAATTGAATTACTGAGTTATTGAATTCTTGAATAATTGAAAAATTGAATTATTGAGTTGTCGAGTTGCTGAGTCATAGAGTGATTGAACTCTTGAATGATTGAATGATTTAGTTATTAGATTTTCGAATTATTGAAATCTTAAATTCTTGAATTATTGTATGATTGAATCCTGAGTTACTGTATCAAACTTTATTTCTCAAAAATCAGTAATCCGAAATTATTCAATAATTTATTATGGCTCAGTAAATTATGGAAACTACCAAATCCGACAACATCGTGAAGCATATAAAGTGCACATAAACGACTAGAATACCCAATACGATCATTGTTTCATTCTGTGTCCACGGACTTCTTTTGCGTCACCACGTCTTGTTTTCCAAACAGAAAGCTCGTGTAGCCCCAACGCCAACGCACCGCCGCAAAAACAACGTCCGCGGCGGCGTAGCGCAACGAGTAGACGAAAATAAATATTCCCTTCGTCGCGAACGCCGCGCAAATATTAAAAGGACCCGCGATTTGCACGGCGATTCGCGTCGATCGTCGCGTTATCATCGATTTTATCGGCCACAGTTCTCGTCGGGAGGCTCGAAAAAGCGGAATTTACACGGCAATTTCGCGCATTAGCGTCGCGTGTCGCGGCGACAATTTAAATAACTCATTATTGTACAACTCGACGGGCACTTACGTACGTGCGCGCGCTCCCATGGATTTATCATTGTGCATCGGACACGAACGTCGCTCCAATTTGGTATCCGAGACACGCAGATACGCGTGTAATTGCTAATTAACCAAGTGACGGCCCCCTGCTTCTCACCTCGTTGCATGATGTACGCGAACGCGTGACGCGAGCGTCCGCAAAAAGTAGCCGAACTCGCGAAAACACGTGCTGTCGATGAAGTCCGCAAGCGGATGCACGGTCAATTTTATTTTTAAGTCGGCTGTGATTTATTGTTTTGACCAATCGAAAGTGAAAGACGATACCGCTGGCAATTAATACGACGAATGTTTTTTCTTCGTGGTCTTGTGTCTCTTATTAGTTGATAGAATACACGAGCTTACGAAAGAAATATTTGAATTCAAAAACTTGTGTTCAATAAATAAGGGAAATTAAGGTGACGTAGATGACGAATAGAAGATTTCGACTTTTGGATCTCTCATGGCTAAACTTTTATGAAAAAGATATTGACGATGTAAAACAGTAGTTTCTCGTATTTACAAAATTACTCGGACGATACGGGCACAAATATATACAATCTATTGGTAATGAAGTTAACGTTGAAGAACAGTATCGACGATCAACACAGTTCAAGTAATCAAAGAACCACCAACGGCTTATTGAAACGAGAATCCGAAAACAGGCAAATAAATGGCATGCGAAGTCACCGGAAACACGTTACAAAAGCAACGATTAGTTGTCAAAGAATGCACCCATTAACGTCCACCGGTGAAACAACGCCCGGAATACAGAGGGTACCCGAAACTCGACGGTAATTTTGTTTAATCCCACCCCGTCCTCTGCCCCGGTTAAAAAATAACATTTCTGCCCTCCATTTACGGGCGGTGATTTAATAGTGGTTAAAAGTTTAATGCAAGAGTAACGAGCGTGCTAATGAGCCAACACACGCGTAACGATCGCCATTACGTAACCCACCGTCATGCGAAATGCAGGCCGGGAATAATGCTGCCCCACCTCCGCCTGGTTGCAAATGAAAAGTAATTAATTATCACGTGTATCGGTTTGATTAGCGGCTCTAAGG